CGCCGTGATAAGCATTGGCTTACATTTTGCTGTGCAGTCTCTTCATAAAAACATGACGTAGAAAAGGCGGAAGAAGAGATAGATAAATAGAGAGGGAGAGAGAAAGGAGATCCCCTTTATATGGCGCGAAGTATTTTTCGACGATGCGCACGTTAAAGCCGTTCCTTCCGATTTTAGTTATTTACCGGTGGCGCTGTATGCACAGATAATATAATACATATTCAAAAACGGGGAACGTCATAGAGATGCATTTATCTCTCATCGCTGACATTCACCGGTCGCTTTTTCAGAGCGTCAGACCGCGCGAGGCCAGCCTTCATTAGCGAGAAACCAAAAGGCCACACTGTCCCGCGATACCAGTGACGCGGCGAAATAAACGCTCCTGGCCTTATTCTGTGCGAATAAACATGAAAGGATCGTTAATTAAGGCGATGCGTTGGTTACGCGTACACGTACGCGTTACGCGTACGCGTCAGATGTCTAGCAACACCTGTTGAGATATACAGCCAAACGAACCCCCCGTGAAAACGCAGGCTAACATTTCATCGTATCGCGAGGTGATTCCGCAACGAAGCCGAATAATCACGGTTGTAATTAACCGCCGGTTTTGTTGTATCAGTAACGGCCGTGTTAATTTGCATCGGCTGATATTTTCGAGAAAATTCGACGCATATTCTGTTTTGCTTCGAACAGTGCACCCGAGCTGAAATTTTAACTCTACTATTTGGATCATATTCTCAAAAAATATCGTATGTAACATTCTTCAAGAATACGACTCCTGAACTTTCTCTAACATCTATATATCCTGTCGCTTTCTCAATTGCTCGAACAAATGTGCGCTTCTAATTTCAGCTTATTTGTATCTCACAGAGCGAAAGGATTTTACCTGTGACAGCCAACTCTTAACAATGACAGCGAAACGATTAGCTATTTAGCTAAAACCGAATTAGCTGATATTACCAAGTCCTTTGTGTGTAAAGGTCATGATACTAAATATAGACGACATTTGCAGCTTTGTCACGAAGTGTAAATTTCTCTTGGCGTTTTCGCCAATTTTAATACTTTGGACCCTACTTTAGACCTAAACCTTCTGTCTGTATATTCTGAACCTATTCATATATACTGAAAGATCAGTGTACGTGTAATACACATGGAATCGGAAATCCTACTTAATGCCTCTAAATGGCAGGAAACGCACAAAATGCCACTTGTAGATTCCAAAGAGGACCTCTCGGCAAAGCTATTAGATTAAATAGAATCAAAAGGAGCTGATATGGGCTTCAAAATAGACGTTGAATGGAATATTGAGGTCGAAAGTAGAATCAAAATTTAGACTTCAAAGGGAACGCGTGGGTGAATAGAGGGTGAAGTTCCAGCGAGACTCGCCGGCTGAATCTCGAAGATTCAACCTCGGTCGAGTATGTCGATGTTCCTCCTACATTGTGCAAGAATCACGCACGCAATAGCTTTCAGTTCTCTGTAAAATGGCTACCGACTCGCTCGGACGATTGCCTGGAGCTTGGTCTTCCACTCGTTAGCCTCGGCATACAATTGAGCGGACTCTTCGCGCGCGCACTGAGAATCGCTTTACCCCCCACTGAATCTAATTTATCGCTGAACGGCAAGCCATCGCACCGTTCCGTTTATTTCCCCTTTGGCAATAATAATATTGTTAATATTAACAATAACATTCAGTCCTCCCGGTTGGAACGGTGCCATGGGAGCATGATTACGGTTGGCTCATTTTCAACCGTGAACATTGATCGCGGATATCCGCCAATTAGCACGTTAATAGTTCCTATAATTATTGAGGATATAACCAACGATTATCGATCGTTGCAACATTAGTCCCTCTGGTCATCCAATAACGTCACCGATGACGACGTGGCTATTCCAAGTGAGCTACCGCGTTAATACCTCGCTGATCAAGGACGCCGCGGGCACGTTCCGACTGGTTCTTCTTTTTCGCTGGAAATTGAAATTGTGCGAAAACGCCGGGAGGAATTTGCTACGAGGCTGCAAATGTCGTCCATATTTAGTGTCATAAGCGTTACACGCAAAGAAAGGGCTTGGTGGTGTCAGCTAAGTCTCAGTAACTGATTCGAACTTGGCTAAACGGCTGATCGTTCTGTCATTGCTAAGAGTCGGCTGTCACGAGTAAAATGCATTCGTGAGGTACAAATCTATTGGCTGAAATTAGAGGCGCACATTTGTTCAAACAGCTGAGAAAGTAGCAGCTGTTTCTATAAATATCTTATGCACGCGAATCTTGAGCATTCAACTCTGTGAGGAATTAACCTCGCAGAGTTCATGCTACCACTTCCCGGGCACGAGCATTATGTCGTTAATTGTCAAACACCTCTTGTGAGAAGCAAGATGTTACTATTAACTTGAGTAGAAATAAAACTAGTAATCTTTATTTATGGTTCTAATTAAATTAATATGAAAGCTGCGCATTCTTTATGATATTAAATTATATTCTGCCTTACAATATATTTAGACGACATATATTTAGACTCACAATCTAGAGTCCCGAGTTTGAGTCCCATCCGAACAAGGACGAGTTCCTCAAATACAATGATAACATCAAATTAACTGACTTCAGACAAAATAATCGTACATTGCAACGCTTTAAGAAAAGAATTATAAAATTTTTCAGTGAAAAAAATGATAAAATTCCTAGTTAGGAATAGGAATATAATCTTATTGTTGTTTTTGTACTCAACAGTATTGCTGTTTTTCCATCTAACAGAGAATATTTTTTGCTGTAACGCTAGAGTTCGATTAGTTAATTAATTTAGCTTCAATAGCGACGCGATATTAACCGTCCCTATTTCGATAACACATCTCGGCTGTTATACTTTTTCTGCATGCGGATGAATACAACGCGGTGCGTACTTGTCGGAATTAAATACGCGAAAGCGGAACGTCACCGGGCTGCTGCGCGAACAGAGACAAATAGATAGTGGCCCGACGGTTCGGAAATTTCCTCCAAAATAGGGGAATGAAAAAGAAGATGAAAAAAAAAGATTTTCGCGAAAGTGCGAAATTGGCGTCACATTATTTTCAGCCTCACGGTCGTGCGAGGCCGTACCCCGCTATTGAAACTCCAATTTTTTCTCTTCACGTCCCCGCACAGCGGAACATTCTTTTTTATCGCACGGCTATAAATTTAAGAGGAGCTTAACGCCGTGGTTTAATTAAACTAGTTTAGCCGTCATTCCCTGCCCTAAGCCTTCTCCACGCGCTGCGGCCGAATCGATCGAGTATCTTGGTCTCACATTTTTCTTTTCCCACTTATCCGGCTTGTAGAGAGGATTACATTATTTTTGAACGATACACACTGTATAACATGTCTATTGTAATCATAGAGATCCGTCTGCAGAAACTAAAGATAGACCAACGCTGTCTGAGAATTTATCGACGGATGGCTGCTCCGAATGCGTCGAGCAGTCAATAATACACAGAGAAAATATATATCTTCGTATCATTGATTTATTATGTTATCAATTAGATATTATTGTAGCAATTAGATATTATTGTATTATCGTCGTTACACGACGAGAGCTGGACGAGCGCTTTAGCGCTTCAGCTTTTTGCCACGTAGGAGATCCCTATGCGAGTCGGTTGTTATCATTCGGGTAAGGTATAATAAATAACTTATAAATTTCTTCGGCCACGCTCACATGGCGTGTATCTTCGACATAATTAACTAACGTGTCTTTGGAAGCGTGTCGCTCTTATGAAAAAAACACGGAGGAGCGTCTGCCAAATCGAGGACACGCGCGTGCTTCTAGATGAGTGCTCGACGGTCACTTGGAATTTGAATAATGCCGTAGATTGTCGGTAATTTACATAATTGCTGAAAAATCGCGTATCCCGCGACAGACGTATCTGCTTTTCTCCGCACGTTATCTCTGGAATCGCAAGCACGCGTTGTGCGAACGACAAAATTAATACGAATCGTGTAATAATGGGAGATTTTAATCAGAGAACGGTACATTCCTATCGCTAATGATATGCATCGACCTCGCGCGACCCGAATGAAATTCCTGCGATCATGGTGGTTCTGTTATGTGATTCACGTATCCATCGAACGAGACACACACGAGACGGCCGATAAAGTCCGCGAGCGGCGTATCATAGAGTTCAGATAGCAGTCGCGGCCGCCGAGCCGAGATGCACACGTGATTCCGCGCTCACGCCTCAAGGACGTGTGTCTCGATGGGTGCGAAACGGCTGGTTAATTATCGGGAACATCGGGGAGAACGTTGCTAATGATATTCAGAAGCACCATTCCATTTATATTCCCTTCATCGACTATGTCGCATGAGTTTCGAGGAGTCGGCGTTCGTCGGGGAAGCGCGTCGGGACGCGGTCGAGCGAAACTTCCTCGGATGAGGTCGACGGTAATAATCCGCTGTTTAAAGTTCCCAACAGCCACGTGACGAGGGAGATTTGGAGTGGAGATTTGATTTAATTCGTCACGTCACGACCTTCAACCCGCGGAATACGCGCGACGGAAAATTCAGAATACCTCGACAACCCTTTCGCCGCGAAGGGAACGATCGATCGATAGAGAGAGAGAGAGAGAGAGAGAGAGAGAGAGAGAGAGAGAGAGAGAGAGAGAGAGAGAAAGAGAGAGAGAGAACGGGGGAAGGAAGTGCCGTTGAAAAAATTTCACGGACATTGCATTCTTAACGCAACATTTCGCCGCATTCTTCTACGGAGGATTTTGCTTTTTTACATTACTTAGAGTCGAGAAAATCGCGCTTGGCGCGCCGTTTATCGTGTTTACTCGAATTCCATTACCCCGGACAATCCCGTTGTCTAATCCGTCAGAGCTATTATCGACATTCCAGCGGATCATCGCTGATTTGTCGGCGGTGAGCGTCTCGCTTCGCCTCACCTCACCTCATCCTGTCTCGATTTCGCGAAAGGGTTGAACCCAGTTGTAAATCAGGTATAAGCAGTGTGACGTAACGGGCAGCATTACTCACTCGGCTTATCCAGATCCGATAGTTCCACCGACGGCGAGTACGCCGCGGCGGCTGCCAAGACCAGCACCATCGTCGTCGTCGTCGTCACGACACTCCACCGCCACCTCCACCACATTTTGTCCCCCTTTCACGCGCACTGCACACACCCTCGACCCCCTAACGGCCGACCCTGCTCGCACCCCTCTTCAGTCGTTACGTAGTCGCGCGGCCGTTGCGAGCCGACACTAATTGCAACCCCCAACGTCGCTGCCGCTCTCGCCGTTGTCGTTGCTGCTGCTGCTGCTGCTGGTGCTGCTGCCGGTGTTGTTGCTGCTGCATCGCGCCGCCGTCCACATCGTCCGCTTCTCTTCGCCGCCGTCGTCGTCGTTGTTGCTGCTGCTGTTGTCGTTGCTGTTCACCGCGAAGCAACACGAACGATGCGTGGCCGCGTCCCCTATTCGTCTCGTCGCTCACCTACCTATCTTCGTTTAATAAAACGCCAGCTATTTGTATTTCCAGGCGTCTCTCAAGAACGAAACGCGAGACTCCTAACGATAGCGTGTGCTATCGCCACTCGGCGTTGCCATTCTATAAAGCGCGATCTTTGTCTTCCTCACATCGTGTAAGGTGATCGCCCTTTGAAGATCTCCGCGATGATTCAAGTGTGCAGTCGTTTTTCCGCTAGATTTTCCGATTTTCCCGATGATATTCTCCTTCTGTCACGTTCTCTCTCTATCTGTCTCTCTTTCACTCTCCCCCGATAAAATTTTTCCGCTGAATACCGATGGATATAATTCTTTAAACGGAGGTTATGAGCAGTTGAAACTTTATTCGCTCCGGGCCGTTGACGCCGTTTGTTATCCTTCCTCCTATTCCGTGATCGATGCGTGCCCCGTTAGGTAAATTTGTTGCTGCCATAGGATTTCACGGGTATGTTGGGCGAGCAGATGATCGCTGGATTTGCGCGGATAAACGGATCCGTAGCGGAGCAAAGCTTTCGCTGACAGCCCTCTGAGTGGCGATTGTAGTTTTATTGTCCGTAACGGGGGAGGGTGTTGCAGCACCCGACAGTGGCGGCGGCGGCGGCGGTCTCCTCTCGAGGGTGGATCTTCGGATTCCGAGTGCGCTTCTGTCTCGGCGCCTGTCGCAGTTCCTACTAATGCATTCGATCGCGGTGAACCACCGCGAAATGAAATGAAATGTCCGTCAGAATGCGAGCGAACATGCAAAGCGGATTCGGCGCGCTTTGGGATTTCCGTCGAAAATCCGCGCTATGCGTCCACTGAGTGCGCTCGCGCAACCGACTTACGAGTTCGATATGTTTCCGGAGCACTCTGGAGAATTTACAGGGCGCGTCCGTTTCCGACGACCGTCAAATGCCTCTTCCTCCGCGACGCCCGATCAATGGGACGCGCGGCGCGGCTCTTGAAAATAAGCAGACTCTAAATCGCGAAAATCATTCGAATCGTCGTCACAGATCGCCCTCGATTTCCCCTAAACCACGCGCGTGGGTGATCGAGTGGAATAAAGCAGCGGCTTCTGTCGGGCTAAGCTGACTGGCTCGCTGACAGCGATGTTCTCTTCGTCTCGCCGGCTACCGGCGATCACTCACAGGTCAGAAATTTCGTGGCACCGGTGACTCACGAAACGAAAGTCATCGTTTGGGTCATCACGCAGCACTGTGAGTGTACTTTCCGTTACGCTGTGCCCCCGTGTGTCGATCTAGCCGAACATCAGCCGAGAACAGAGCAATGAACCGCAGGTGTATCAACGGGCAAAGTTAATCGCGATACTGCAGTCGATGCTGTATCGATTCAAGCACAACCAACAGTCCCGACCGCCGCCAGCGTATAGCTGTTGAAGCGAACACGCTGCTGTGCAGACACCCGACACGGAATTTACTCGGTACACACGAAACGCGACCGATCCGCGGGCGATTTTTTCTCACACGCGTGTCACCAGGGATTTCGCGCGCGCAGTCAGGGGACGGATGGAGAACACGTGCGTTCACGACTCGTGAATCGCTCTCTCGACGCGCGTCTGCAAGTCGCAGATCCTGTACACCCCCGGGATTGACGCACGAGCGACAACGCGGTCGGTGCGAAGAGTCGCGAGTCACGTGCGTGGCACGCACTCTTGCCGAGTGAATTCCGATAATATTTCGACGATCGCGCGCACCTGAACACTGAGGAACGGAAGGGACGCTCCCTATCGCGAGGACGCGTTTTCCAAAAGTCCAAGCTCCCGGGTCATCGGCCGGCACTTGCGGAGCACGTCGAGGCGATCGACCGGGCGACCCGTACGCGACAAGCCCGCGCGATTTCGCGGCAACTTTGATTCATGGATCACCCGTGCGCGCAGTTTGTCATCGAGATGCGCGCCGATAAACCTCCCTTGCGACGAAGCCACATCGAGTCCTGACCCGCGGCGGCTCGGTACTGAAACCATTGAATATCGCGACGAGCCGTCGCGGTTGTTTCGGCCGACTCCGCTCGCACTCGGCTGTTCTCGGGCACGCTCGCGCCGTTGGTCTCATTCTGGACCCTCGACCTGCTCGCCGCCTCTCGCTCGCTCGCCCGCGCGCGCGTTTCCGCTCCGGCTCCCACATTCGGCGCGTTTCTTCCGTTCTCCGGTCGTGTCGCGGCGGGGACCGCGATGATTTACCGGCGCGGCTAATGAGTCGCGCCCGTAATCGCCGCGTCGTGGTCCAGGCGCGTACGCGCCAACACGTAAGGTCTTCGACGAGACGGGAGAGAACGCCACGCGAAAGTCGTGAGATGGTGGGGCGAGAGGAATGCCAGGGTCGTTACGCTCTTATGAATACGATGAGATTTCATAGCAGATGAAGAAATTCCACGCGATCGGAGATCGAACTGCTTTTCCCCTCCTTTGTCTCTCCCCTCTCCCTCATTGTTACAGTAGTCAACACCATGTGAGACTGAGAAAACAGACGTGCGAATATACGAAACACGATACTTGACAGTTAAACGCGACACTCGCTAATTAAGCAAGTCGCCAACTAACTCCGCGGAGCTGATTACGCTATTTATATTTATCACGTGTATTCACAGTTTACTCGCAGTATATCTATTTAAAGGTATCTCTTCTAGAAGAGGACCGCGCGCGTGTTCGCGGAGAAAGAGGATATTGCACATAACGATAAATATGTCCTGAAAGAATAAGAGCATGTACTTACATCACGGGGTGCGCTCATGAGTGTGTTCATGAAAACTGGTAGTTCGTGCGTACCCAGTGCATGCACGAGATAACAGCCCTCGAAGCTCCATGACTACGAGAACTCCCCCCCTCAATCACGATAAATTCCGGCTTTCGTGTTTCCATCGCTATCGGCAATCGCCTGCAAATCACTTCCTAATCCTCATCGAGTAGGTATCCGCGAAGGTACCTTTCCTAAATCCGCTTTGACTGCCGTCTAAGAATGTTTCCGCGTAGTATGCCGTATCGTTACTTTTGCATCTCTCGCTCGGCTCTGATATTAAATATTCAAATGAATTTTTTCGCTTCAATTCGCAAGTCGCAAGTCTCTTCTCGCAAATGCTGCACTTGAATGTTGTGCAACATTTTGACGTAGCGCTGTACGTAAGGCGATTTACCTAGCTACGCAACTATGCAGTAATTTCACTTGCCATCTAAAATCAAAGCGATCTTCTCTCGCCCAAAATACCTGTCACTTGCATACACTGCGCACGCATTCGGGTGAGAGAATGAGAGAGAGGGAGAGAAAGAGAGAGAGAGAGAGAGAGAGGGAGAGAGAGAG